GCTGGCTTCGGTTTTGGTTTGTTCGGCTGACATTTGGATTCGACTGTTGTGGGGGACGTATTAGTTTGTAGTTAGTTTGTCTCGTTTGTGTTGTGTTGTGCGAGTTTTGTGTCCTTTGTTTTTATTTGTGTTTTTGTGTTTTTGGTTTGGGCCGTTGGCCCCTGTTAACCTAGGTGTTACCTTTATTCTCCTGTTGGGAGCCAACACCTAGGCATTCTCCCGTTGGGAGCTTTTAGTTTTGTGATTGTGTTTTAGTTGTGTTTTCTCCCGTTGGGAGCTAGTTTCTAGTTGTTCGTTGTTTGTGTTAGGTTTTTTTCTGGTGTTGCCAGCGAATCTAGGCGGACTTCGGTCTAGCCTTCCAGTTTGTAATTCCGCACATTTGTGCGCCTTTTATATATTTATTCTTTCGTTTTGGAAAAAAAAAAACGAGTCGAGTTCGAGTTTTAACGAGCCGATCTCGAACTTCAACTATCCGCAAAATAAAAAATTACATAAAAATTATATTTTCAGTCTTATCAAACTGAGTTGTTAACCAAAATGAGCTTATTGAGGTCGAACTTGACTCGTTATGACCTCGTGCTCGAACTCGAGAGTGGAGTTACACTTGTTTAAGCCTATGTTTGGTTCGGGGGAAACAGAGGGGAGGGGAAGGGAGGAGAGGGAAAATTTTATTTTCCCCTTGTTTGGTTCAAGTTTTTGTACGGGGGAGGGTTTGAATTTTCCCTTCAATTCCCTCCTCCAAGGGAAAATATGCTCCCCTCTAAAAGTGAGGGAATTTGGATGGGAGGAAAAATTTTAACAACAAATTACTCTTTTAATCTTACTGTGAATTATTTTATTTTATTTTTCTCCTTACATAATTAAGGATATATTTGTCATTCTAACATTATTTTCCCTCCCCTTCAATCTTCTAACCAAACAAGGTTAATCATTTTCCTTCACCTCTCCTCCTACAAAATCCATCCAAACAAGATAAATTATTTTCCCTCCCCTCCCTTCCATTAAATTCCCTCCCTCCGTTCCCCTCATTTGAACCAAACATACCCTAATTTAACGGAGCCAGGCCCGTGAATGTGATCCGTGCCGGACCAAAGAAGACGACGAAGAAGAAAACGTGGTGGTGGCCGGAAAGAAACGGACCAGCATAGTTAGCAAGATTGTAAATTGTGAAGAATTGTGCGTAAGCGATACACCATGGGAAGTGGGTACGCTAACGGATCATTCGTGAAGAACAGATATTGGATTCTCAGACACGGCAAAAGCATCCCTAATGAAAAGGGTCTCATTGTCTCCTCACTGGTTTATTCACCAACCCATTCCAATTCCTTTCTCTATTTTGTTTTGAAATGCTTACAAAAGCAGCTGCCTTTCTCCATCGTTTATTTTGCTTCGTTTTGTGGCAGGAAAATGGAATTCTTGAAGAGTATCAATTGGCTTCTGATGGGGTTCGTCAGGCTCGTTTGGCTGGAGAATCATTCCTCAGGGCATGTCTCGCCGACTTTATTCACCAAGATTGCGTTTTTCTTATAATTTTCACTCTCTATTTTTATGTTTGTCTGCTCTCTGGAACTTTGGATGACAATTGGCTGAGTTTTTTTTGGGTTTATGAGCATGTTGAAGACTTTCAGGTTCATCTTCTAGTGTGTGCTGATAAATTATATTGAAAATTTCGAGCTTTATAAGGAGGAATTGGTAGCTTGTACTTTTTTCAGCTTCTTTCCATGGCCTTACAAATTATTAGAATTGGATTAAGGTTAAATTCCTGCAATTGATAGTTACGGTTTACGACAGATGTGCTGTGGCCATTTACTATTGTTTATTTTTGATCTAAGTGTTTTTTCGCTCATTAACGTTTTCTTTGTAATGGTTAGCTAAGGTTGAGGAGGAGGTAGGAGTACTTATATGTTAAACACCTAAATAAATGGTGTTTTACTGAATCAAGTCTGTAGTTGCTGGAGTTAAGTACCCCTTTATCAACTGTTTATTTTGTGTGTGGATGTTTTTCAGGCTCGAGAAAATGGTAGGAAGATCTACGTGCAAATTTAATTTTTGCATAATTTGTCACTTAATTTCAGCAAAAGCGTTCATTTAATGTAGAAAGCCTTTTGCTTCCTTAAGTTGTTTATCCTTCGGTAGAAACTAGAAGTTCCCATGTTTAGTAGGTTACCCATCTGAGGATAAAGATTATGTTTTACCTCGATTTTAAAGATCAATTCGTTATGCAGCATTTGAAAGAAAATGAAATTGATCTGAATAATGTCCGAATCTGCTATTCACCATTCTCGAGGACCAAGCACACTGCAAAAGAAGTTGCTTCTGTCTTAAATATTCCATTTGAAGGCCCACAATGCAAGGTATGTGTCCTACTCACCGATGATTTCAACTTCCTGAAGAATTTCAGAAGTGAATTTAAATATGAAAAATAGGCTCAGATGTTGGGAAAGAACCAGATTTGTTAAAATTACCACTGCTACCCTTGTTCGATAGTCACATTGCAAATATCCTGGAAAGCGAGCTTGTTGTTTTCATTTAGTCACTTGATATGTTTTCAGTCTATAGTTAAGCTGATTAATTTTGTTCCATTCTGGAGATGTAACTCAATATATTTATTTGTTAAGTTGAATTGCAGGAGAACAAGGAAGATATTGCCAGAAATGTTAGATAAGCTTCTGGTGTTTCTTATTATAATTTAATAAAATCAATACTGCCTAAGTTTGGATTTGCATTTCTTTAAGCACATGAACTGAGTGATACATTATGGAACTCGAGTTATTTCATGGTCATTGTATTCTACTACCCTTTGAGAAATGAGTTTATGTAATTGCGGTTAGAGGGCTTATATCTATTACATATAGCCTCATGCTTTAATGCCTAATTGTTTTTTCGTTCACTTTCCTTGCAGGTTGTGCAGGATATTCGAGAGAGATTCTTTGGCTCTTCATTTGAGCTGCAATCTCATGATAAAGTAAGAAACCAACCTTTTTAATATTTAGCTCGATGCCAGTGAGTTAAGAATAACATTTATTATTTGTTCATTCAACCTTAATAAATTCGTGATTCTTTCATACTTCGTTTCCACCAAAGTATCCTGAGATTTGGGCTTTGGATGAGAATGATCCCTTTATGCAGCCTAAAGGTGGAGAAAGTGTTGCAGATGTTGTCACCAGGCTCACAAGAGCTTTGGCAATGATGGAATCGGAGTTTGAAAAGTAAGAATCAAAATTGTTCTTCTTTTTTTATTTGTTAACATCGTCAAATCTATCTACTATATAATTAGGCAACTCACTTGCCATTTTTAGAAAGTTTTATGTGGGACCTACAACACTCTTACTATTTTTGAAAAGTCTTCACATTCATTTGACAATTGTTCATATTTGTATTAATTTTAACTACCTCAAATAATATTTATTTAGTTTATGGATAACTACCCAACACCCATTATTTAGAGCATGATTGGGATACAAAAATTTCTCAAAAAAATCCAAACATTTTTAACTCAACCACTTGTTTAACTCAACTTTAACTCAACCCCACTATCATCAATATTATCAATATAATCGAATAATATCAATCAATCATTCTTACGCAAAATATCACCTTAATTTACTATTCATCCACTCTCATAATTTTAACTAACCATCACTTCAAATCTTCTCTTTCCTACTTTACATCAAATCAACTTTAATCATTTTATTTTAAATATTATTATAATATATTCACTAACAATTAACCATACCAAATTTTTCAAAACTAACCAAACCAAACAAAAAATCCAAACAAAACCAAAACTTTTTATATCCAATCATCCTCTTAATATTTATTTAGTTTATCGATACCTACCTAACACCCATTATTTAATATTTATTTAGTTTATCGATAACTACCCAACACCCATTATTTAATATTTATTTAGTTTATCGATAACTACCCGATACCCATTATTTAATGATTTGACACGTGTTTATCAATTGTGACTAATTTTTTTAATACAAACAATTAAAAGTACTGAACGTTTGTACTTGACGGGTATTTTTATAAAATTTTATTAGATTTTTTAGGAAAGATGTTAGTTTAAATTATTTATCTAATTTTCATAATTTATACTTTATAAATTAAAATAATTGTAATTGTTCGTATGCTTCTTGCCTGAATTTTATAAATTTTTTATATTAAATTTTGCACATAAATTTTAAATCTTTATCTTAACTTTTGCACAAAAATATTAAATCTAAAAGTAGTGAAATTAGATATAAGATATTTTAAAAACATGCGCAATGAATAACACACAAATATTCTTCATAATAAATAAATAAATAACAACATGTTTGTAGAATATTTTTCATTTCATTTCTAAACATACAAATTAAATCTAATAATAGTGAATTTAGATAAAAAAAAATGTTTTAAAATGAATCACACAAACATTCTTCGTAATAAATGAATAAATAAATAACATCATGTTTTTAAATATTCTTTTTTATTCATTTTCTACAACAAGTTGAAAAATCCAGAACATATGATCATGATTAAATTAATCCAATAAACAAATAATATTATACATATATATGTAATAAATATCAGATTGCATGATGTTAAAGAGTATTTCGTAAATATCTTTGTATTTATTAGTAATATCGCGATAACATAAAATATGATTTAAGTGTTAAATGATAGGTATTTAATTATTTTAGACGTATAAATCTATGTATGTTCATAAAATATTTTATTTTTTAATACGTAAATCAGTCAAACATATTTAACACTAAACAAAAGTCCAAAATAATATAACATTTTTATTTTTTATAAAAATATTGACAAAGTCCAAAATAATATACGATTTTTATTTGTTATAAAAAATATTAACACAACGCAGTAACACGTCTAACATATAGAAATTAATTAGAAATACAGTAAAACCATGAGAGTGAAGTTATTAGAAATACACACGTTTGGAAGTTACATTGTTAGTGGCTTGAACCGTTACCTTTCACGGCAGCATTTTTATTTAATAAGATATATATTTGGTAGTTTATAAATACGCAATTCATTATTTTACCTTCACATTCACATCTCTTTCACATTTTTTTTCAAACAATTGCTTACACACGGGTAAAGAAGGTATAGAAAATAGGATGGAGTATCAAAGTTCGTGTGATGCGATGTACACTGCTTTCAAGATTAAAATACTATTTTACCATTACATTCACATCTCTTTCACACTTTTTTTCACACAATTGTTTACACACGAGTAAAGAAGGTATAGAAAATAGGATGGGGTATCAAAGTCTGTGCGATGCGATGTTAAGATAGGATTGCTTTCAAGATTGAAATACTGTTTTCTGGGAATTAATATTCCACGACTCGGAGGTCAAGATCGAAATACCGAGACTGCGAGGTGATTCTTTTAGGACATTTTTTTCTTTATAAATAGTTATTATACATATTTTATTTAATTTTATTTCCTAATATTTGTGTTTGTAAGGTTTTCAGGGATATACAATCCATCCCTCAATCAAAAAGATTAATGTAGTTCTGTTCAAACGTTTTGGAATAATTGGTATCCACACTTTATAATTATAGCACCAAATGGCGGCAGATATAAAACTACTATAGCAAGATTCAAGATATATTTTATGGTGAACTTCAACATGAAAATTTCCCGAAGTTTATGTATAACTTCTAAAGTTTTACTGATTTGGCTAAAGACTCTTTTTGTAAGGACTCATTATTGATCGGTAAATATCATATGCATATAAAACATAAAATATATATTTTAGTTATTGGAGATTAATTTATATGAATGTTATACCTGAATAACTCTGTATTTGTTGCATGAATCGATAATTATATCTTATGCATATTAAAATAAAATATATATTTTAGTTATTGAGGAGTAATTTATATGAATATTATACATGAAGAAATTTGTATTTACGCATTGCCAACTTTATGTCGTTGTTTCACGAGTTACAAATGAGAAATGATTGAAAATATTAATTTGTGATGATAAAGATACCTCAAAGACGAAAAACGTTGTATATAAAGAAGTGTTCAATAATATTTAATCGTTATGCATATGAATTGCAAATGTTCTTTTAAAAATTTTTGTCTTGTAGCTCCCGTGCATTTGCACGGGCAACTGTACTAGTCTTTATAATGATGTCAAATATTAAATTTGTGCAAGTATCGCACGTGTAAGGGAGTAAAAGTTGACTTACCTGTTTTTATCTGACGACCTGTCTAAACTAGGCAGTAAATTCTATTTTTTGCTTTCTGGATTATAAATTGTGCTACAATTCTGATATCTCCTCGTGAAGGCATTATAAAATTGAGCTTTCCTTGATCAAAGGAATAAAAATGCTGAAACTTGGTACTTGCGAAGTTCAATTTAGAGAGTGACGTTCAAATTGCACTGTGATTGGTTTTCTACTACTGCATTTTTTGGGTTTTTACAGCCTTTGTTAAACACTTGCCGATATCCTTGTAATAATTAACTTGAATGTGATGTTTAATTCATTTATTGCTCTATTGTAGATGCACAATATTGGTGGTAAGCCATGGTGATCCACTGCAGATTATGCAGACAATCCTGAATGCAACAAGAGAACATGGAAATTCGACTGAAAATGAGTTGATTTCTATAATAGATGCAATCAGAGTACCGTCGGTTCTCTCACAGCACCGCAAGTTTGCTCTTAATACTGGAGAACTTCGCCAATTAATATAGGCAGCAATATTCAATCTGCCCGCAAAAATTAGAGCTTTCCAATTTGTTTCTGTTGGTAATACTTCCTTAACATTCATGTAAACTTATATTTGTTTCGTCACATGTTGGCGATCTTATTCATGATTTCTTACTTTGAGCAGTTATTATTATTATTTTTTAAATCATCATACTTTAGATTATTAGTAATGTCAGTTATTATTATTATTATTTAAACTAATCATTATTATTATTATTATTATTATTATTATTATTTATTATTATTATTATTATTATTATTATTATTATTATTATTTCCGTTTTTATAAACACATATAATTACCTAATTTCCCTACATACTTTTGGTTCATAAGGATTTTTTTCATCTTTATATGCATATAAACCATCCACTCATTTGATTTTGATTTGTCTAAAAAAACTATATAATATTTGTGCATAAATCATCATGTTGAATTATGAATTATCAAAATTAGAATACTGTTTTTTAATAATGTATTTGAATTCTTTTAAATAATAGTTTATTCTGTATCAATCAAATCTTAAAACAGCTATAGTTGTTGTTTCTATATTTTCAATGTTTAGATACTTATTAGAAAATAAATCCAAAAAAAATATGTTATTGGAATCTTTATAGCTACAAGCAACAATATCCCTTTGTATATAATTCACGAATGTGCTGAGCCTATGTGGCTGTTTCTGATGCTTTGGAATCCTACTTGGCGAAGAATCATGCTTCATAATTAGGTTTGGACAAATAATATTGATATATTAATAATCAATAATCTAGGTTCGGACATTCCATAAATATTATTTAGCTAACTTAGGTATTTTAATCACTTGTACTAATATGACCCTTTAATTCTTTATAATTTTACATAGTGAGACACTAAGTGCCTACTATATCCCTGACTTTTGATTTGTTTCTTTTAGTTAGCTATTGAATTATAAATGTATATTAAAAATTGATAACTTTTGTATTTCTTATCGTTTTACATATATAATATATCAAATTAATAATGTTTTCATGATCTTCGATTTGACATCCATATTGTATATATAAAATAAATAAATTATATTTATCTTCATAATAATAATAAATAATA